CGATCATCCAGGACATACCCAATCACGAGAGACACATTATCCTCTTCACCGGTGGCCCACCGTGCAAGGACTACTCCAACATTAAACAACACCAACCGGGCCGGGCCGGCTCACAGGGCAGCCTCTTCGACACCGCACTCTCCATCCGCGACGACATTCAGAACAGATGGCCACATCAATCGCTCACCCTGCTAGAGAATGTCGTGCCTCACCCCGAGGTACGCGACGACTTCGACCAGCTGTCCCACTCCATGGGCCTACGCCCAGTCCTGATCGACGCGGCCGACGGCCAAATCATCTCTCGTCCCAGAATCTGGTGGGCCTCGGTCGATTGGGAATCCTTGCCTGCCACATTGAGCAGGCATACACCTTGGCAACTCTCCCTCGACACTCAGCTGTTCCCACCGGTGCTCTTCAATCCCATTGCAGCCGAACTACAACCAGACTGTCACATCCGGGACTTCGACCCGCCGAGTGTCCTAACACACGGACAACTCTTCCACTGCCTTACCACCCAGGCCAGTACGGACGAAGGCCGCCCACCACCACGCAGCCAACAACTACCAGACGACACATGGCAACGGTGGCAAGCCGACCACAAACAATTCGCCCCGTGGCAATACCAACAGAAATACCTGGTCCGGAAACACGGACACGACTGGCAAGTCGCAACACCCGAGCACCGCGAAGCAATGATGGGATTCCCGCGCGGCTGGACGGGACCACACAACACCGACCGGACCAGGAACACCATGCTGGGGAACTCCTGGCATGTGCCCACAGCCATGTGGATCCTATTCCTTTTGCTACTACAGCCAGCCTTCGGAATTCCCCCGCCCATGCAGCGGGTACGTCGCGGATCCCTCGGAATGATGGTCGACCTCTGGCTTCACAACCCACGACCATGGGGACCACCTCCGAGAGCATCGGAAACGCTACATATGCCACAGAACGACTGGCAGGACCACTTGACCTGGGCCAAACACCACGCTACCTCGCTGCAACAGCCCCAGCACTGCGACCCGACCATTTTGTGGGCCATCGCAATGCAAAGGACCATACCACAACTGCCACAACTACAGCACAACGTGTTACTCGACATCGCGGACCTTCGCGATGACCTGACTACAGATACACTTGCATGGTTCGAACAGCTGCCCCCACACTGCCAGCGAGCCTATCGACAACCGAAGATGATCACTCAGGTACCACTCATGACACACTTGCTACATTTGCTTAACTACCCACAGGCACAACTCCTGCACGAGGAACTCTCTCTAGGCTTCGACCTCCTGGGGCCTCTGCGACCCGGAGTCAATTGGCACATTCGCCACGACCACAAATACCTGGACCCATGTGACCTTGCAGAACTCAGGTCATTCAACAAAGCCTACATCCAGCGCAAATTACAACAACACAAGATCGACGACCACTGGACTCTTATGGCCACCGAAATCGCGGGGGAAGTGGCCCAGGGACGTATGGCCGGCCCCTTCGAGGCACCGACTCATTGGACCTCTCGCACAGTACCCCTGCACCTTTTCCCCCACACCAGCCGGCTCCTTCCTATCCCACATCGCGATCCCATTGTGGCAGTCGCATTCAGCATACAACAGACCGGATCGGACGGAAAACCCAAAGTCCGGAGAGGAGAAGACTGGCGCCGCAGCGGCCACAACCAGACGTGCTCTATGCACGATCAACCCTACCATCACACACCCGACCACTACATCCAATGTGCGAGACAATATCACGACGACGCACACCCGCTACATGTGTGGGGACACGACCACGACGGCGCCTACCGTCAACTGCCCCTCGCACAACCGGAGGTAGCATACGTGCTACTCATCACACCCGACGGCCCAACTCTCTGGCACCACCACGTGCTCCTGTTCGGCTCCGCTGCCAGCGTCTGGGGCTACAACCGCTTCGGCGATGCACTCACAGCACTCGCCCGCGTACTAACACTCACACCTGCCCTGCACTACGTTGACGACTACGGGGCCATACAACCCAGTCACATCGCGACCAGTTCCTTCTCCTCATTCAGCAAGCTCAACTCACTACTTGGATTTCATATGAAGACATCCAAGGAACAACCACCGGCGCCCTCTCACAAAATACAAGGGGTTTATGTCGACCTGTCGGCAACACACGCAACCCTTCGACCGTGCCCAGACCGAGTCCGTACACTGTCACACACCCTGTCTCAGTGTCTCGAACAGGGAGGTATGTCGAACGACACCGCCCGACGCACTGCCGGCAAGTGCAACTTTGTCACCGGACACCTGTTCGGTCGAGTAGGGCGATCGGCGTTAGCCGCCCTATACCACAAAGCACACAGCACTTCCGACCGGATCGACAAACCAACTCGAGCTGCCATTCTGTGCCTCCTGAATATCCTGCAACATAGCTCACCCCGCAGCGTCCCACTGTCCACCAGGCCCAGAGACCTTTCAATCATATACACCGACGCGTTCTGCCGGCAGGGCGAGACGGTCTGGCGTGTCAAGGACGCAGGGGATCAGGATTGTCTGCCACCCGATTGGTCGCACGACAACGGATGGGCAGCGGTGCTGTTCAGCCCACAGGCACAAAGGACCCGCGTGGTCTCGGGCGCACTACCCCCTAACTTACTCCAACAAGTGAGTACTGGCACCAACGCCATTTATTTCCTCGAGGCATGGGCCGCGTTGATCGCTCCTGTGATCTTTCGACCATGGATCACTGACACATACCTCCAGTTGTGCGACAACGAAGCGGCCAAACACGCCATCAGACGGGGAGTTGGGAAACACCAACCACTAAACTGCCTGCTCGGTGCACATTGGACATGGCACAACCGACAGCAATTGCAGTTGCATATTGCCCGTGTGCCCACACATGCTAATATAGCCGACCCCTTCAGTCGACATGACATGTCTCTCGCCTCGAAGCACCACTGGCAGATTCTGGAACCCCCCATGCACGCTCTACATAAACGGACGTGCAAAATCATTGGCGATATTGAGTTCGCCCATGCCGTCGGATTTGACGACATAAAGGAACTCCAACAGTTCCACAGGAATCATTCCTCCTGAACCCGACTTGACTTCCACGTCCCGTGAGAATCTTGTCCACAGTAAGGAGACTTGATCGATGTAAGGATGCCTTCAACGTGCCTTTTGTCTAGGTCGTTCGCCTTCGGCTTCACCTTCGACGGGAGTTGACCTACGACGGGAGAACGTCCACTCCCTCTTCGAAACTCTGCTGTACAACATTTTGGGTTTGCATGCACTTGCATTTGCTTACCTTTTATTTTGTTGTACTTTACTTTCGAGTCAGTGGTGTCTGAGAGACACGCACACCGACTCCAGAGATTGAAACAGATCGACCAACAGGTACGATCCCACCCACTTGAGGCAGTGCGGTGAAAATAAATCGACCGACGCTGGTTGCCGTCGTACTCTCTGGAGCGGTTTGTTGTTGCGGTTAACACTTGTGTTAAAAGTAACAACCGATAGCGGAAGGCATTTGAATCACACTCAGATTCGAACCTTGAGTGCCTGCAGGATGACACTGCTTGATTCATGCTCCGTTCGCCATTTTGGCGAATTAGCCAAATTTTTCTTTCCCACCCACCCTCACCAGTTTTCACTGCATGCCCTCAGTACCTGTCGGTCTGCATTTATAGCATCGAGTGAGAGGACGGGAGAACGTCCACTCCCTCTTCGAAACTCTGCTGTACAACATTTTGGGTTTGCATGCACTTGCATTTGCTTACCTTTTATTTTGTTGTACTTTACTTTCGAGTCAGTGGTGTCTGAGAGACACGCACACCGACTCCAGAGATTGAAACAGATCGACCAACAGGTACGATCCCACCCACTTGAGGCAGTGCGGTGAAAATAAATCGACCGACGCTGGTTGCCGTCGTACTCTCTGGAGCGGTTTGTTGTTTACCTCGGGACTTGACCAGATGAGATCAGAGCATGCAGTGGCAGAGTCATTCTCAGCTGCCAGCAAGGCAGTTGATGTTTACGGATCAACGACACAACTCACAGAGGGAAGCTTGCCTGCCTGGTTCGGTGGATGACTGAAGTGAAACCAGTCCAGCATGTTTGCTTCTATACTGTGATTGTGTTTCACCGTTGAATCCTGATACTAATTTGAGAGTGAACCGAAAGCAAACCTGCTGTGAAGGTTGAAATTGGCTCGATTTTGGACACTTGCCCCAATATGATGTGTTGTCCAGTCATGCACTTGTACAAGCCAACATTGTTTGGCACAGAGGGATCTAAACTTGCAGTTTGATCTCCAGGGTCGAGTTGTCTTTGTAATGAGGGTAGTTGGTAGGCCCTGCTAGTCATTAACCCAAAGATTCAATAGTCAAGAATATATAATGGCTTAGAGAGAGGCTTTGGTACTTAGGAATGCTGGATTCGAGTCAACGACGAATGAGACGCACAGCTGCAAACGGCTTTGCTTGGACCCAACATTTACCGTGTTTGCCCTGCGAGTTTAGAGAAGGAAGCACGCCAAGCAAGGGCAGGAAAACATCGACATCCCACTAGCAAAAAACGCAAGTTGCCGGCATCGCTTTTCAAGGGTTCAGGCATGGCATCGGTGAAGGAAGCGCCGATACGTTCACTGGCAACTTCAGCTGGCGCCATGTTTGATCAATAGCGGTGGGTGAACCAACTAGCCAAGCAAACAAGATGCAGCACCAGTTTCAGCTGCTTTGAGAAGAATCCTGCGTTACACTTTCGCCTCTTGGCATCGTTGCATTTGGTTGGCATTTGCCGCTGGCTTTAGCCTTCTGGAGGGCTGTGGCGTTGTCAAAGTTGCCGTTTGGCAGCTTCAGATATGGGTATGTGCCCAAAGTAGGGAGACCCAACAAATCGGTGGATTCCTTTTGGTTTCCGTCTAAACCCCTCGAAAAGGCACACACACACACAGAAAACATGAAACGGCACCTGAGAACATGTCTTGTACCCCGTTGGCTTTCGACTCGTGAGGCAAGTCCTGAAACCAGGAACTCCAGTGAGAGGTGCGCAGGGGCGGCTACGGAATGGACAGGAGGGACGGAGCTGAGGTTATTGAGGTTGACAGGCATTTGTATACATCGGGAGAGTTGATCAACCATTGAATCAGCACTGTCCGAGTCCACAAAGATTCTTACTTTAGAGCCTCCGGCTCAGTCCGCCGACATTGTCCTCTCCCTTTTCTCCTTCTTCCTCTCTTCCTTGTCTCCCTCGTGTGTTCTGTCGTCCTCTCTCCCTCCCTCTGCTCCCATCCTCCCCATCCCCCCAAGCCTCTCTCTCCCCACTCTCCCTCTCTCGTATGTATGCATGCATGTACATGTATGTATGTATGTATGTAATGTATGTATGTATGTATGTATGTATGTATGTATGTATGTATGTATGTATGTATGTATGTATGTATGTATATGTATGTATGTATGTATGTATGTATGTATGTATGTATGTATGTATGTATGTATGTATGTATGTATGTATGTATGTATGTATGTATGTATGTAATGTAATGTAATGTAATGTAATGTAATGTAAATGTAATGTAATGTAATGTAATGTATGTATGTATGTATGTATGTATGTATGTGTATGTATGTATGTATGTATGTATGTATGTATGTATGTATGTATGTATGTATGTATGTATGTATGTATGTATGTATGTATGTATGTATGTATGTATGTATGTATGTATGTATGTATGTATGTATGTATGTATGTATGTATGTATGTATGTATGTATGTATGTATGTATGTATGTATGTATGTATGTATGTATGTATGTATGTATGTATGTATGTATGTATGTATGTATGTATGTATGTATGTATGTATGTATGTATGTATGTATGTATGTATGTATGTATGTATGTATGTATGTAATGTATGTGTGTATGTATGTATGTTATATGTATGTATGCATGTATGTATGTATGTGTATGTATGTATGTATGTATGTATGTATGTATGTATGTATGTGTGTATGTAATGTATGTATGTATGTATGTATGTATGTATGTATGTATGTATGTATGTATGTAATGTATGTATGTATGTATGTATGTAATGTATGTATGTATGTATGTATGTATGTATGTAATGTATGTAATGTAATGTATGTAATGTATGTATGTATGTATGTAATGTATGTATGTATGTATGTATGTATGTATGTATGTATGTATGTATGTATGTATGTATGTATGTATGTATGTATGTATGTATGTATGTATGTATGTATGTATGTATGTATGTATGTATGTATGTATGTATGTATGTAATGTATGTATGTATGTATGTATGTATGTATGTATGTATGTATGTATGTATGTATGTATGTATGTATGTATGTATGTATGTATGTATGTATGTATATGTATGTATGTATGTATGTATGTATGTATGTATGTATGTATGTATGTATGTATGTATGTATGTATGTATGTATGTATGTATGTATGTATGTATGTATGTATGTATGTATGTATGTATGTATGTATGTATGTATGTATGTATGTATGTATGTATGTATGTATGTATGTATGTATGTATGTATGTATGTATGTATGTATGTATGTATGTATGTATGTATGTATGTATGTATGTATGCATGTAATGTAAGCAAGTAAGTAAGCAAGTAAGTAATGTATGTATGTATGTATGTATGCATGTATGTATGTACGTATGTATGTATGTATGTATGTATGTAATGTATGTATGTATGTACGTATGTATGTATGTATGTATGTATGTATGTATGTATGTATGTATGTATGTATGTATGTATGTATGTATGTATGTATGTATGTAATGTATGTATGTATGTATGTATGTATGTATGTATGTATGTATGTATGTATGTATGTATGTATGTATGTATGTATGTATGTATGTATGTATGTATGTATGTATGTATGTATGTATGTATGTATGTATGTATGTATGTATGTATGTATGTATGTATGTATGTATGTATGTATGTATGTATGTATGTATGTATGTATGTATGTATGTATGTATGTATGTATGTATGTATGTATGTGTATGTATGTATGTATGTGTATGTATGTATGTATGTATGTATGTATGTATGTATGTATGTATGTATGTATGTATGTATGTATGTATGTATGTATGTAGGTATGCATGTATGTATGTATGTATGTATGTATGTATGTGATGTATGCATGTATGTAATGCATGTGTGTATGTATGTATGTAATGTATGTGTGTATGTATGTATGTATGTATGTATGTATGTATGTATGTATGTATGTATGTATGTATGTATGTATGTATGTATGTATGTATGTATGTATGTATGTATGTATGTATGTATGTATGTATGTATGTATGTATGTATGTATGTATGTATGTATGTATGTATGTATGTATGTATGTATGTATGTATGTATGTATGTATGTATGTATGTATGTATGTATGTATGTATGTATGTATGTATGTATGTATGTATGTATGTATGTATGTATGTATGTATGTATGTATGTATGTATGTATGTATGTATGTATGTATGTATGTATGTATGTATGTATGTATGTATGTATGTATGTATGTATGTATGTATGTATGTATGTATGTATGTATGTATGTATGTATGTATGTATGTAGTGTAATAAGTAGTAAGTAAGTAAGTAAGTAAGTAAGTAAGTAAGTAAGTAAGTAAGTAAGTAAGTAAGTAAGTAAGTAAGTAAGTAAGTAAGTAAGTAAGTAAGTAAGTAAGTAAGTAAGTAATGTAATGCATGTAATGTATGTACGTATGTATGTATGTGTGCATGCATGCATGCATGCATGCATGCTTACATACATGTATGCATGTATGTATGTATGTAATGTATGTATGTATGTAATGTCATGTAATGTCATGTAATGTAATGTAATGTAATGTACTGTATGTATGTATGTATGTATGTATGTATGTATCCTTGCACTTCCCCTTTGCTCCCCAGTATTTCCCGCAAAAAAAACACGGTTTTTCCAGCGTTTTCGCAAAGAGGACGTCCAAAAACATTGAGTTTTTCCAGATTTTCGGCAAAAGGATGCAGGAAGCCCAAGCCAGCAAAAAAGCCGGCAGGGGGAATCGAGCCTGGGACCCCTGTTTTGCGACACCGGCTCCCCGAAGACTACGTTTAGTGGAACGTCATCAAATTGCCGCGCGGTACGTGGGGGACCCCCCCCTCCCCCCCCCCCAAAAACCTACGTAATAGACGTCGGGCGGGGGGGGTTAGGGGGGGGGTTATCCTCTATCCTCTAGTAAGTATCCGACACGCCGAGCAATGTCGGCGGACTTTCTGGGATAACCATTCCTCTCTCCCCCGAAGGTGCTGCGACTGTGGCCTAATTAGTTGCCTTGCGAAACACCCAAAACAAACTTTGGCCTTTGGACTGTTTCAACCTTAGCCTGCCATTTGATAGAACTATCAGAGCCGCCAAATCCCGGAATCCCCTCCGCGTCATTCTTCACACTCAAGTTGAAAGGCAGCATGTTTGGGCGTCCATTAGCTGAGCTCACGCTGTGACGAACTTGGGCTTTGTGCGACTACTCCGTGCACAAATACGCCCTGGTATAAGGAAAGAAGGTGCCCAGAGCACGATCCAGCACAGGCTTTGGAGCATCCCGAAGATCTGCAAGAAGAAGCCATTGTCGCGCATAGGGGGAGAGTGCTGAGCCGCCTCTGTTGCGCAAGAGCACCTCTGTTGCGCAAGAGCAAGTCATTGATCAAGTGCCGCCTATATCAGTTTCGGTCAAACCAGATTTTAGTCTCTGGTTCTTTTGGACAGGTTGCGGGTGACTCACTGAACCTCCTGGCAAAGACCAGGCTCGCGAAACTTGCCAGTTCCTCTTGGCGGAAGTAATTTTGACCAAGCCCATGGAACGAGGTGATGATAGTCCGTAACTCAGTTCCGTTTCGTAATGCCGCTAGGGCCCAACAGGCCTTAGGCGCAAGGCTCCCAGAAGGGCCGGAGCAACTGTCCAAAGCAATTGTCTGCAGAGCAGTTGATTGGCACACCCTGTTTGGCCCAGAGGAGGCGATTGCTTGTGTTAGCGGGGTGCAAGCAAGGAAAATCATCCGCAACGCTAGCTGGAACACGTTCCAGCCAATGCATCGCCCAGCCCCCAAGGAGAGTTGCTGGAGCACCCTGACAATAGCCCCAGTGCGCACAGTCGCCGTAACCACAGGCATGCATGTTCTATCAAAGGTCGGGTCAAAGGTTCCATCAAACAGGTTGATGCAGTATTTCCCCAGACTCGATTTGGGTTCTCAGGTTTGCAACAGTCCCAATGCTTCAGTTGCTGAATCTCCACATCCTTCAATGTTACATTTGTAGGATTGCCGAGGGCAGTTCCGCATGGGCACATCAAGCATGTCGGTTCCTCCTAGTATAGCCGGTAGAGTATTTTGATGCCAGTAACAACATCGGGCCTTTGAGACATGCCTTCCTTCCAATGACTTGCTGGTGCTCAGTAGGGAATGTGGGAATGAACCTGGGGATTCCCTTAAAGAAAACCATAGCGGATGGTTTATAGTCTATAGGGGTCATTCCCTCGTTCCCTGCTGAGCACCAGCAAGACGATGGTTAGCGTGGACATGGCCCGTTCGTGCCCATGCCACACGTACACACACAGTGATGTTTGACTGGATGTATGGAAGTGTGCTCAAAGTCAGCCTCTAGATAATTCCGCTGCCAGTACTAATTTGGAGCACCGCTCAAAATGTCTCGCCAGACTTGAAGTTTGACCCCGACAAAACCTCGGTTTTGATGGTCACAGTAAGGGATCCAGTTGGGATTGCGTGTGTGCTTGCTTTTGAGGATACCCTTTTTGGGGGCTCAAAGTGAATCTAAAAGATGAAATCACTATTTTTTTTTTGAGAACGGCTCCTATTTTAACACTCTTCCCAGTGGCTAGGTTCCTTTTGGTGTCCCTAAATGACTAGTTTCCTCCTGGCTTCTCATTTAAATCCAAGCCACCGGGTCCCCAAACATCGACACCCCTGACGTCACACGATGTTCGGCGAGAGGCGCGGGCTGTCGGAAGACGAGCTGTGCGCTCACTCGGCTGGCACTCAGTCCGGCGGCCACGGCTTGGCTTTCCTTGGGTTTCCCTACTGTGGACGAATTCCGTTCGCACCACTTTAAAACCATGGTTGAAGCCATTGTTTGTTGCTATTTGCAGGAGAATCATCAGACACCAGGGTTTCTTAGGTGGTGCAGGATTTCGTCTATTCACGGTATGAAAGTTTTCGCCATGGCGTATTTTGTAGGTCGCATCCCGCAGAAATGGCAGGTTTTCCTGCTGGTTTCCCACAACCACCAAGAAAGGGGTACCCTCAAAAAAAAAGACACTCCCATGTTGAGAAACCACCCCTTTGTGTCTTTGGAGAACCCTCTTTGCATTGCCAGGCTTGAAGCCGCTTTAACTCTTTAAGTCCTTGCCCTTTTTGGTTTTCTTAATTTTCCCTGCCAGCTTGACCTCCGACATAGTCCGGCCACGTTTCCGACCATGCGGATTCAGGAGCAAGAAGTTGGCCTTTTGCAGGGGGTCTAAGTCTGGCCCAGTGTTGGTAGGAAAAGGAAATCAACTGTTTTGGGGGTTCCCCCGCTTTGAGCCACTTTGTCAGGAAGGGGTTGGGATTTCCCGTGACATTTCGTCAGTTGCAAGCGCTTCCATTCATACCCTCCCAAAAAGAACATGTTTTATTTGTTTGAGGGTACCCAATTGGTTTCTGGTTTTAAAGGGAAGACGAAAGGAACATCACCCTTCTTGTAAGGACACACCCAAATATTGTTCGAGGAATTTACACTGGATCCCTCTTGAGCTCACCGATTTTTGGGGTGCGAGCAACCCATGAAGGTCCTTTCTTGGCTTCCCTGATTTCCAGTTTGCTTCCAGTTGCCTAACAATAGTGTTTGATTTCCATGTTGGTTTTCCATTGGGCAGTATCACTACTAAAAGATTGTTTTTTCTCCAGGGCACTCGAGCAAATCAAGGTGTTGGATTGAAGAATTACTCATTTGCTTTGATAGTATTTAGTTTGTACAGTTCACGGGAATCCCGGTCCTAGTGCTGAGCATCCTTTCAGCTTTGCAGTAAGAAGAACTGTACCAAAAAGAAGCTTGTGTCGGCCGAGACACTTCTTTGTGTCTCCAGGCAGTTGTACTTTGTTCCTCTTTTGGGACAAACCGAGGAAGGCGAAACGGCGACTTTCCCCGACCAAACGGCGACAATCCGCAACCAAACGGCAATAATCCCCGACCATGTTTCTCGCTATATTTGAAACAACACTTTTACAGTGCAAAGCGTTTTTGCGACCAAAGGACTGAAAATTGCGCCTTTTCGGCAAACGGCGAGAAACATGCACACTTGGACGATTCAGGCATGTCAAAAAACCGCAGGTGTGATTCAATCGGTTGACGTCCGTAGGCCTACGTTTTTTGCGGCTGTCGGCTTTGGAGTTGACAGGTTGATCGCTGGGATTTGACCATCATCTTCTCTGTCTCGCGGCCCAAACAACAGACACGCAGGGTTGCCTACAGCATTTCCCAGCCAATTTGGAGGACGCTGAGCAAATCGCCTGGGGATCCAGGGACTTGTAGAACCCACCTAGGGGACTTACGGCCTCATTTCGGGGAACCCTGACGTCGTTCTTCCATTTGCTTACGGATATGTCGTGTTTTCAGTTTTCCCCCCCTTCGGCTTTAAAGGATCCAGCACTGCTGGAAATTCACATATGTTTTCTCCAGGGGACTTAAGCAACTGGAAGCCCCGGTTGACCTCTCCTGAACGAATGTTTTGCAGATCTCAGGCACTGGTCGGCCCACAAAGCAGTGGCAGACTGAGCGGGCGACTGGGTGCGGGAGAAGCAAAAAACAAGCCATGCGGTCCCAGCGAATCGAACAGGAAGCCAGGGGAAACCCAGAAGGTATCTCTACCCTATGATCTACCCTAATATCAGCAACTGACTATGTTATCGGTACACTTGACTTGGTTTTGGGGACATGGAACCCGTGTTTTGTTGGGAAGCAACACATTCTGTCCTGGGCTCATGTTGATGTGGCAACGCAAGGGAAGTAGCCCAGATACTTTGTTACGGGACCAGCGGCTTGTTTTCTGGCTATGGCGCCCCTCGGCAGCTGCTCATTTGTTTGGCTTTGTCTCAACCACATGGGTTGGTCGCAAAATCGTTGGACCGCAAAAATGAGTGGTGTCCTTTGCCCAGTTGCTCAGTGGTGCCATTTGTTTCCTTTCTTTGGGGAAGGGTTCAACCAAAAAAAGGGACACCTTTTTTCCCCCTGGCCACTGGGCATCTGAGTTTGCATTGAGAACATCCCCGAAAGATAGGCATCGGCTTTCGCAGCCGTCACGATGTTTCTGTTGCGGAGCATTTGGGCTGATTTGCCGTTCATACCGGCCATGTCCGCGTGCAAAAGCAACTTGGCACAATCCCCTGGTGCGAAAAAGCAAAGGTAATTTTTATGTTTCCTTCTTCATACAGGTCCCAATTAAATCCAAAGGAAGCAACTATTATTGGCGCCAAAACCAATCCCGACAATGGCGCAACCAACACCCCGCCCCCCGTTTGGATCTGACGAGAGCCGCTAGGTTCGCCATCTCCCAGCTCGCCACCCAAGAAGCAGGCGCGCAAAAAGTACGCTTTTGGCGCAAGAAATCCTCAGGTTTAGTCTATCGGAAGTGGATCGATAGGGAAACGACTTTCGGGCTTCAGGTCAAGTAGAGTTGGAGCCTTGAACGTTACGCGATGCTTGAGGTGTTGACTCCCCGCCCAAAAGCACGGGCCGAGGTTGAGGGAAGTTGAAATGCTCCTGTTGATGTGGTTGATGCGCAGCAACACGCGCTATCGCACGGAACTCAGGGCCCAAAGAGTTTGAAACCACGTCTACTTTCTTTCGTTGTGTGTTGGTTTCTGTTTGCGCGTTTGCTTGTTTTGCGAATAGTTTATACCTGTCTGTCTCTGTCAGTTTGTCTGTCTGTTTGTTTGTCTGCCTGTCTGTCTGTCATCCAATGGGTATGTGTCAGAATAAAGATCTGAACCCCAAAAGATTGGTTTACCCTTTGCTTTCTCTTTCAAACCACCCCCAGGGTAAATGTTGTGGGATTCTCAAATGTCCTAGACAGATGAGGTGGCCTCATAAAACATGGGCGTGTCAAAGTAGGGGTACCCACTAGAAGGTGTTGCTTTGGTCCCCACCACACCAATTCCCAAAACCGCCGACCAGCGCCAGGCTTCCGTGGACCAGCCCATTGCTGCGAGCGGCCGAGCGCTAAATTTCGAGAATCGCGACCTCATCCAAACGTTGCTTTTTGAACAATACCAAGGGGGATTTTGGACATACACATCAGTAAGAAAACATGAGTGCTACATCAGTTGTTGGTGGGTGCTGGCCTTTGAACTTTTGTTGTCTTTCTTGATTTGTAGTTTGGGTTTGGACAGGTTTGGCTTCTTTCAATGTTGAGCCTTCCTCTTTTTGGCTGGAACCAGCATGTTCGCCCGTAGGGACGTGGCGATAGCACAAATTTCCAGCCTCTTCAAAATAGAATTGGGGGAGGGGGAGATTCCCCTGGACCTTTAGTTATATATATATATATATATAATACATGTCCATGTTCCCTTTTGTGGGAAAAAACTAGTACAAGCGGAATTGGGAACTCCCCACCCAATTCTCTGTCCCATTAAAGCAGGCTGATTACATACACTATCATGTTATTGACTTGTTTCGAGACAGCCGGCAGCCCCACTCTAACTCAGGCTCTTATGGTAGAGCGCAAAATATCCATAGTCCAAGAATCAAAGCAATGTCATTTGGGTGGTGCAGCAAACACATTCCGGCGGTACAACAGCCGCTCACCCGCAGGTTTCTGAATGGAGCTTTTGCTTCCAGTTGCTTTTTGCTTCATCTAAGTGGGCTGATCAGATCGCTTGTGCAAGCTGAACTTGCAACCCAACGGTTAAATGTGAGGCCTTCAAATCTTAAGCCCAGATTGACAAGCCCCTGGTTGATATGATTGGGGATGTCCCTTTTTACAGGGAATCCTCCACCTTGTGTTGGTGACACCACCTGCCCCATTTTTAGGATGGGCTAATGAATCCAGGGTTTTGTAGGATGGTCTCGTGAATCCAGGGTTCCCATTACTTGGCTCCCGAAAATCGGGGCCCTTCAGAGAACCAGCGTTCAATCATTTTGTGACACCGTATTCCTCAGCTGTCGAGAGCAAATCAACCTTTTGTCTTTGTTTTGGTCGGCCATGTTAGCTTCCGCATGTGGTGACCCCGCGCAAATGACCGTAAATATATGGGTATGTCTGAAACTAAGGGTACCCCAAAAATGGCATGTGTCCTGCAGTTTCCCGGTTCAACCACCCCCAAAAGGGTAGCCTCAAAAACACATCCATGTGTGTGTGTGTGTGCTTGTGTTGGACATTTCACATCCTGTGTCGGAGGAGATGATTGAGATGCCGCAATGCGCGTCACACAAGTGTGAAAAAAGCGACGCAGGCGCGCGTCTTTTTGAGGATATCCTCATACTTGGTTTGAAGGGAAATCGACAACGGGGTCCATTTTGGAGGTTCCCCTAGTTTGACATGGCTGTGGGAATGGAACCCTGGTACGTGGAAACATGGACTAAAACCTGCGAACCTGCGTTTTTTTGGTGGTTTAGTTTTGACCCATACCCACATACCCCGAGGTTTCCCTATTTTAAGCCACACGCCTTGAGACCCCAAGGTGATCCCCAAACCCCGAGACCTGAGGCAGCTACAAGGCGCCGCCCGCCTCCGGCGCCTCAGAGGCTTCGATCGGGGAAGTCGCTGCCTGACAGGTCCCAGGTGCCCTGTGACAGGTGCTATGGATGAACGAAATCCGTTTTGCACCACTTTGAAACTATGGTTGAAACCAGACTTGGTTGGTATTTACAGGAGAATCATCATTCCAGGTTTCTTAAGTGGTGCAGGATTTTGTCCATCCACAGCATGTTCAGTGGAAGGGAGGGGAGGTAAGTAACCCTTTGCCTTGGTTCAATGATGCTGCCTATGTTTATGGCGAAGGAGCCCAGCAATTCGGGCTAGGCTTAAACATCTTGGGAGCCCCTCATTTCAGATGGTGGAAGTGTTGTACAAGCTTGCAGAACCAATTCCCGGTGAATGAGAAGCGACCTCGCCAAGGGTGGGAGGGGGAGCAACCGCCGATTTTGCCCGCAGGTTTCTTCTTTGGAGCCCTTGTTTCAGGCTACTACACCATTGTCATGCACCCTGGCTATTAGACACTCTAGTTGATTGAAGCCACCAATTTAACCAGGCACAACTAAGCGCTAAAGAACATTTGGAACGACACCGCACTTGTTTCAGCGGCGACAAGCGCACCAGGCCACCTGCCCAGAAGCTGCGCATCGCATCGTCGGGCTCCATATTTTATTCCATGAGATTGAACAGCTGAGGCGTTAGCTGGGACTACCAGCGCCACTCCAGACGCTAGACACAAAGCACGCGACAACGTAGATGAACCAATAGAGATGGTCCTGGTTTCCGATTGTCAGGACATAGGTGGCCTATCGGTCGGATGCTTGTTTGCTTGACTCTCATTTTTGCGACTTATATGTTTGGACCTTTTGGAAAACAACTGTTTCATTAAGTATCAGACCAGGTTACTTTTGCAGGGGGTCTGAGACCAACCCAGGCTGAGCCCCCCATTTGGCGAGAACTTCTCGCGCAAAGCGGCCCCCTTAAGCTCGCACGGCACCGCACGGCACCAAGTGTCGCACGAATGTAGGCGTCCACTGCTCTGCCGGAGGATGCCGGGGCTGGGGCCCCGACTTTCTCCAGACACCAAATGGCTGTGGCTCAAAAAACGGGTACCACAATGGAACCCTGGTAAGTGGAAACATGGACAACCTGGGTAAACCCTCCTGTTTAATTTTGAGTCACACCCATTTTTTTGGAATTCTCATGGGAGGGAGGCCAAGTGTCATGTAGAGGTTCCTTCAGTGAAATCGCTACGAGATCCTACTTCTCAGGGCTTCAATGGCCCAATGCAAATGGACTCGTCCTGCTATAGATGAGCAACACGCAATGCTTCAAACAGATCAGTCCAAAGAGACACCTATGAATCAGTTAGGAGTCTACCTGACTTTTCACATCGGGGATGATCAAACGATGCTTTACATAGAGTGACCATTACAGAAAACCACTATAAAGATGGTATTTCGCACTACACGGGAAAAGTTACCCATCCTGTACAGCCCATTGTTACCGAAAAATGCGTATCAAGCAAAAAGTGGCCGAGCTGTGACAAAATGCTAGAGCATTAAAATTCTGCTCGAAGCACAAGTTCCGATTCGTCATTTGAAGCCCAGCCTTTTGAACAAGAAACGCATTGAAGCAAAAGTTCTGCGGTGCAGAACAGCAAATCAGGCGCATCTCCAGGCGGCAAGTTGCTACATTTTTCCAGGTTGCGCCCGGGTGCGCAAGGTTGCGCCAAGGTTCCGCCAAGTTGCGCCCGAGTTGCGCGCAGCCTGCTTTAATATTGCACTACGAAATGACAAGTGCCCACTCACAGCATGAGCCGTTTGTGGTGCAGTCGGTTTCATCTTCGCGTTCCAGCAGGTGCATACCAAAAAGCGCCCAAATATAAACAAGCGCTCGTTCTGCCAAGAAGTGTCCGTGATGCCGGAAAACTGCTTTTTGAGTGGCCGAACCGATTCGCTCACCACACCTACACATTTGTTGCATTTCAAAGGCAGGCGCTCATCCAAACGGCTTTCACAGGGTCAGTCTTGTGTTTTTTTTTTTTTTTTACCAACACGAAGCTGTCTTCATCATACATCCGGCAGGTTCTGCTAGGATGTTCGACCATCCCTGTATGCCTGCAGATTCCGTGGGATCAAACACAGGCTAGTATGAATGTCCAGGCTAGTTCCTTTGGTTTGCCCATCGAGAGGTTAGACGAGGGGCAGAAACGCTTTGACACTGTTTTCCCGTGGATGTTGAAACTTGATAGTTTATGCTTAAGTAGTTGTGCGGCTGTTGAAAGGGGTGCCCGTGCAAGAAGAGCACTTCTTTGTGACGAACTCTCTGTGCTTTGCCGAATCATGACGGGCATCTCATGCGTGGCATGGTCAAAAAGTCTCTTCTCAAGGTTGATCACGATTTCCCGCGCATGAAGGATTTTGGACTCCAAGTTTGTTTCTAACTGACAAATTGGTACAACATTTTAACAGATGTAACCTGTGACCGGTCCGGCCTCGCACTGGTCCACCTTCAGCGGGCAAGCCCAAGGCTCCAACCAAGAAGCCCTTCCTCCGAAAGGCGACGGCATCGGCTGGTTCTATGGAGCTTGAACTTGGCTGTGGCTCCGAACAACATGGACATCCTGGGCAACCCCTCCTCCTTAATTTTGAGCCACACCCACTTGGGATGAATCAACTTAGGCTACAAGTTATAACTTGGATGACTCAGGTTCGTTCCCTTATAGCCATGGCTACCATCTACTTAAATGGGTCGAACATCCAAGGGAGCATCCCACCGGGACTTGGACCTCGGAAGTGCAGGCAGCAGGGCTTGTGGTTCTTGTACCTTCAAATCTGTTTTATTGGACTCCAGATGCATTTTGAACCCCCCAAAATGAATAGAGGGGTGTGGTCTAGTCACCTCATGAACGATTAGCGGACATTCCATAGTTCTACCAGCGTGTGCAGCCCTCAATCTCGCAAACCTGAAAGTATTCTAGCCCGGTTATGACGCTGTAGATGTGCCTACCCTTCTGGGTGGGTGGGTTCTGTCGACTCCATTTCTGTAGAGCTAGAGAGATATATTTGTTGCACTGGTTGGCAGCCAGTTTTGCCGGCAAACCCAAGTTCTTGAAGAACAATATTCCCAAACGGGTATAGCCGCAAAACCATATGGGAATGGTCCGAAATGCCTTTGCATGCAAGTATGAAGGGGAAGACCTTTTCGCCCTAGTGTTCTCCGCAAAAGCTTCGTGATGGAGGTCGCAAAAGTTATTGTTGTCGCTCGAAAGTTTTGTTTACGGATGGTCTGCTAAAAGGAATATGGAATGATGAGCCATGTGTATTTGCCAGTAGTGGTGCAGAATGTGTTCAGGAAAGCACGGCCTGAGAATCGCCGCAAGACAAGATGCGTCGCTAAGGCCAACCCGCAGCAGAAAGAAGCTTGTTGGATCATTTTTTAGCTTTCGGGTCCAGTGCTCAACTTCCCAACCCGATTCTGGAGTTGGCGTATCGGCAAATGGCCAAGGGGTCCCCTCCTGCGTGGCCTTCCAGCGGCGGCGGAATCGTACTTCGGACTACTTTTATGTTTAATGTTTTGAAGCTCACCATATGTCATTCGAGCGCGCCCTACTTTAAGCAATTTGCGACAGTTCGAAGACCGCCCTTCCGCCGCCCAAAGCTCAAATGATTCTTCGCACGCCACCAATCCGGAAAATGGTTCGGTGCAGTTCTTTCCAATGGTCTTGCTTGGATGTGTCTCTAGATTTAAACAAAAATGGTTCTTTCAACCCAGCTTGACTGGCTGGCTTCGGCATGGTTCGCAGTAGTTCGGCGTATCGTCAATCTCCACCAAGGATGCGTGTTCGATTGTAGGTGCAGTCCACTTGTCCCACCCGGCTGGTTGTGTGGAACCCTGCCCGCGTTTCTCATGAGTGACGCGTGGATTTTGGAAGTTGTGGTTCCTTTACAGGAACCCGTTTCGGTGCAGCCCAACATGCCGTTTACAGGGCATAAAGAGGAAACCATGCCTGGTGGACAAAACCCTGGTGACGGTTGGGACAGAGGACGCCCTACAACTCATTGGATAAATCACCGACCATCTGGTGCAGGGTTTGTCCACTTGTTGTTGACAGGTAGCTATTAGTCATGTACAGTATTCACCATGACATCATATGGCTCAAGAAAAAGTTACCTGAGCGCCTTGCTGTTTATAGGTAATTAGATCTGACCTATCAATGCGTTATCAGTCGTATCGCTGGTACCTTCTGCAGAAATTACTCCTCACCCCGCGCTGCAATAAATTCAGGCAGCAACGGATGCCATCCAAATATCGCAAAGCGAAACGAAGCAGTGGCCATTGAATTCATGAAGGGTGGTCATCCGGAAGGGAAGTCGCCTGGTAACCAACAGAGTCGGACCCGGGCGATACGCTTGTGCCTATTCCCCCGGTCTCGCTCCGGGAGCATGCTATGGATTCGGACAGGAACCTCACGCTGGTGCACATTCACGGCCAGAGGTCCACGCTCACATGACCAAGAACGGAACGCATGTACACCAACATCATGCGAGCGCTCCGAACTTCTACCAGCACAACCAGACGGTCAATGTGGTCAACGCTGACGAGCTGGCGGCCCATGTTCCGGCCCGCCACGACGCCATCGTGAGTCAACTGCAAGCCGGCCACACAGAGGAATAGGGCCGACTGTATCAACATGCTCTAAACCACACTAATGACTGCAAACGACAGGCCATGGCGAAGGAGCAGGAGCACAACGAAGAGAGGCGAAACTGGGCTGCAGAGCGCAACGAGGCTGAAAGAAAGTTTGAGCAGCTCAAGGTCCTGTCAAACAATAAGCAGAAGGAGGAGGCGGACCGGAACATGGCCGAGAGGAGAGACATCATCCTCAAACAGTCCAGTGACATGGAGGCACGCGAGCTGAAGACTTGACAAAGCGAGCCGTTTTTCCGGTCGGAGGCCAAAGGCCTCTCCTGTGCCGCCTCCTCCCCCTGGTCTGGGCCTTAGATCTAAGACGCGTGTCAGGTCTTGCTCTACGGAGCTCTGCCGTGATGACCCCGGTGTTGCTGATGATCCTGATGATGACGTGTACCAACCTCCCCGAATCAGGACCCCAATAATGATGGCAATAACCCTGGGCGAAATGGCAAAGGAAAGGGTAGCGGGGGCAATGGCCAGAGCGGGATGATGACGATGCGACGACAGCAAAAAGGAGCAAGAAGGACAAGAAGAAGAAGAGTCACAAGAAACGAAATGACGGCTCTCCTTCTGATTCACCGAGCTCTTCATCCTCCAGCTCTCCAACCTCTTCATCATCCACACCATCGAGCGACAGCAGCCGCACAGTCCGTAAGAAGCTCAGTAAGTTTTTGGGCAAGGGAGCATCGAGTGTTATCACTGACCTTGATAAACCCAAAGTGCAAGAGGCTGAACGGATTTTGTCATTCCTGCGTTTCCCCTACCAAGAACTATAGGAATTGGCGTATCAAGGTTCGAGAGGCCGTTTGTGCAGCTTCCGACAGGCCTGACGATGCGTTCAAAAGGATTAGCAGGACATGGGAGCATCAGTCACTAGTGAAGAACTTTCGGATCTCGGCGCATTTCTCACGCTTGATGCCAAGTTGCTCTCTGCATTGACGAACATTATTTCCGGTGATCTCGCTAGGCAGCTTGCTTGACACGTTCAAGGAAGTTGAAGCCCAGAAACAGGTTGTGCTCATGGTTCATGAGCACTTGAGCACAAACATAAAGCGTGGTGCCACCTATGCAATGGAGGATCTTCGGATGAACTCTATGTTTGCTTTTGCCTTATCACCTTTCAACCCGAGGCCCTATGCCATCGAGTCGCTTCGACCTCAGATTCTTTGCGCCGGACTTAGGGGGAGGGAGACTGTACTATAGGACTTTCCCTTTTCCTAGCAACTCTCCTTCGCAAAGCGGGGGGTGTTGTTGACAGGTAGCTATTAGTCATGTGCAGTAGCACCATGACATCATATGGCTCAAGAAAAAGTTAGCTGACCGCCTTGCTGTTTATAGGTAGATCTGACCTATCAATACCACTCAAGGTGGCCTCACTATGTACCATGATCTTAGCGGGTGGTGGGTTCAAGGGAAACAACCACATTTTCTGACTTTGATAACCCCAGGAAACGACCCCTGTCAAGGTGGCATCGCATTCGCAGGGAGCACGGGCGAAGTCAACGCTGCCTGGGAATACCGGACCCTTGGCAACCAGGCGGGGACGCATGCTGAACTCTGCTGCGGCGTTGTTTTGTAACGTATTTGGCAGTGGTTGTCAAAGCCGTTTTGGGATCCCATTTTGGGGGATGTGTGAATCCCCCCCCCATTCTAAAAAGTCAATTTTAGTGGTTGAATTGGGATGTTCACTGGGGGTACGGGCTTTTGACCCATGGCCATATTTAACAGTGTCAGAGTCACAAGTATCATTTTGGGCGAGGCAAAAGCTGAGATAGTCAGCAGCGCTTGTTTTAACCCTTTGTCCGGATCCCATTAAGAAACGTGGCAAGTGGCAATTGTCACAGAAACCGTTTTCCAAACAGGTTCTTTCAGCTCACCACAAACAACATCACAAAACCAGCGCGGGTCTTTTGTTAAGGGTTATTGTGCAGGACGGCCCTGTCATGAAGTTCGACCATGTACGAGTTTTGGAGTCTGGTTTGCTTCTGCCTTACTGTGAAGAAGGAGGGCTGTGGTAAGGAAAATCGGGGCCGTGTCAAGAGAGGCAGGTGATTTGGAATGTGGTCCTCAGGTTGTTTAGTTCACTCGACTTCTGAGATTCAATTTTGACGGACTGCTGAAGTGGAATGAACTACGGCCAATACCCACACATTGGCTTCGTTCGATATGCTTGATTTGGTGGCATCCAATAGTCAAATAAGCTAAGCTCAAAACCAACCTTGATGCTTGTGATCGAACAAATCCCAGGCGGCCAAAATGCTGAGGACAAGAGGGTCAAAATTCTAGATACAACGCACGCCGAATGACTTGCTGGTGCGATAGGCAAGGAATGAGAAATCGAATGAAACCTAACCATCCAACTGGTGGCTTCCTTCATCTTCCAAAACGGTTCATTCCATTTCTCATTCCCTACCTATCGCACCAGGAAGTCATCGGAAGGAAGGCATGTCTCAAAGGACCGATGTTGTTGTTATCGGCATCAAAATACTCTACGCGGCTATACTAGCAGGAACCGGCATGCTTGATGTGCCCATGCGGAATTGCTCTTGGCAATCCTACAAATGTAAGCTTGGAGGATGTGGAGATTCGGCAACTGAGCAGGATGAAACCTGAGGCGATGCACATTTCCGTTTCGGGCCATCTCAGCGAGGCCGCCGGCGCCGAAGAAGCGCGCCATCTCCGAGCCCAGGACTTGGGGCGCTTCGAAACCTCGCTCTCTCCAAGGGCCGGGGAGGGTCTGCCAAGAGAACCCTTGGGTTGTGGGGTTGTGGGGGGGGGGCCTAGGGTTTGCAAGAATGATGTCATACAAAAATGATGTCATATAATCGTGTTTTCAAAAGATGTTTCTTTTGTTTGAGTTGGTATCTGTTTTTTGCGGTTTTTGAAGGGAAACCAAGAGGAAACACACACACACACACACAAGGGGACTCACCCCACCACCCGATCCGAACCCTTCCAGAACCTATAGGTTAGAACCGTTTTGCTCATGTTCTTTGCGACTTTAGGCTCGCACCAGGACAAATGAGCTGGGGCTGGATTTTCTATGGTAACGCTTCCATGTTTCCTCAAATCCAACACGCCCATCCCCCCGCACACGTCATTTGAACTCGGAAGGGAGGATGGAAACCTCTACTCGACGGTGATCGAAGCCTTTGAGCTCAAAAATCTGGAATGCAGGCTAGTTCCTTGGAAGGAAATGTCCTGATATCGTCATGAGAGCTTCCAGCTTGCTGGTTGGGAATGCACAGCTGCAATCAGTGTGTGTGTGTGTGGATATGGGGGCAGATATGTGTTTCTGTAAATCGTATTCTCATGCTAAACCCCTCATGGACAACTGCAACGTTTGCACATTGCCAAACGTTCCTGCAATCTGGCACCCCCTTTAAACCACACCAAGTTGCGACCTTGACGCGAGCTCGGCGCGCACGCTTGCAAATGCCCCGCACAATTGTTTGGGAGATCTTGATGCACCTGTGGGCTTCCATGATCTAGGTGTTTGTAGCTAAGGACAATTCTGAAGCTCACCACTCAATAGACCACAACTCTGCCAAGCAAGTATTTCACCGATCACCGAGTTGGCGATTTGCATGCGTCGGACAGAGGTACTGTAGCCAGCATGACTTGTCATTCAAGCCAGGAGCGAAAGCCACGATGCTCAGCCCGATAAGTTCGATTCAATGCGAGTATCTCAGACAGATATGAGGCATTCTCAGGGCAGTTTCAGGTGCCAGTCGAAACGAAGCGCTTTTGCCAAACTCTTGCGTTGGATCACCCCTGATCACCCTGGTATAACACTCTGGAAGGCTTACCCCTTTTGCTTGCCTGGGCTGCGCGTGAGCTCCGCGCCGTTCGCCTGGCTAAGCCACCGTAATCTCGTTACCCCCGAGGTTTCCCGCGCCCATTTGGGAAAAACTGCATGCTCCCTCAAGCAGTTTATTGCCCTCAGCGAAGTGAATCTGTGGGTGAACCATATTAATCAGCGCAGACGGGAGTTGTGCTTGTGCGGCCTGGCAGATGGAAGCTGGGCTTGGGAATCTGAACGAGCGAGCTTGACTGTGAGTTTCGGCTTCCCTGTTGTTTCTGTTGGAGGGTCCCGTTGTCGGGGTTGCTTCAAAGGGAAACCAAGGAACATCACCCATTTAGGGGGGGTCCCACCATTTCTTAAGATTTACCCTTGTGTGCTATTCTTCGGGTTCTTCCGGCGTGCATCCTGCATCGCTCAAGCCGGGCATATTGGGGCATTTGCACAGCCCAGCTGGGCTGCGTGCGAGATCCCTGGTAATGTCAACTCGAACGAATTCGAAGCATCCTACTCAGAGGAACCTGGGAAAATACAAACATGATTTCGCTACCAACAGGGGAACCCCTTCATGGTTTCCGGATTCCGATGTTGACAGTATGCCAATGTACTTGAAAGGGGGTGAATAATCCTCATACTGATGCACAAAATCAGTTTCCAGACGGTTTATCCCACCAAAGGCGTTCATTCATTCCAACAGGTACAGGATTTTGTCGATCCACAGATCAAACAGCATCAAACAATGTAGCAAATGGAGCATCAAACAACAGGCATGATGTGTTTTCTCAAGACCAACTCGAGAAGGGCCTTGGGTTTGATCACACCCCGGGGCGCTCAGGTGGGGGTCGATGTCTTCCGTCCCTTCCGGCCCTGGCCAAGTGCCAAGTGTGGACAGATCGGGGAGTGGATCAAACCAGGTTTAGTGAATTTGGATCCGAAAATATGGCCAATAATTTTACAATCACCCCCTCAACAGTGGTGGACATGGAGCCCCTAAATGATGTCCACCGGTTCCCAATTGAATTTCATGCCCATATTGTGTTGGGGTATAAGCTGGTGACCATCGGCCTAAATCACCAGCCTGGTTTCAAGGCGGAAAGGCGAGCCGCCACCTTGGTAAATGGACACTTCACTGAAACTTGCGTATTCCTAGCTTCTTAACTTTGAGCCACACCCATATATGAGCGAGGCGTTTCCGACCAAGTGACGCATGGGCTGTTTGCGTGTTGCCAGATTGGGGTGCCCACGCTACGCATGGGGGGAAAATAGGCTGGATAGCCTGCTTGCTGCTGACACATACAGGAGATCAACATGCACACGGCAACATCGGCAATGTGTACAGCACAGTAAATATCCGATGAAGGTCAGTGTTTGGCGTGCGGTTGGTATGTTACAACGATACTATCTGAGGGTTCACGCAGAAGGCTCTTTCATTCGTGACTGCCTGATCTTGCTTTGTTATTTGGCTACCTGGTGAAACATCTAGATTCATGCTTGAGTATCGGATAGGCCATTGCTAGCAGGGCTCGGCTTTAATAAGCAAGGGCCGCGGTAAGGAAGCATCAGCATGACCAGCCCGCATACAAGGAGGGTTGATCATACATGCATGTGAGTGTGTGTGTGTGTGCTATATCGTTCATCATCATCATCATCATCATCATCATCATCATCATCATCATCATCATAATTATCCTCAGCGTCGAATTGCTTGCCGATTTCGGCACTTGGGTGAATTTGTCCCTCAATTGGCGGTTCACGGAATTGAAGAGAGCCAGTACGACGCGTGCAAGGGGTGTTGTTTGTGCTAATAGAAGCCCGCTACGTGAAATCCACAGCTTTGATTCATCCGAAGTCAGGTGTGGCCATGTTCTGGAAATTCCTCCAATCGTGCGGCACGTGTACCCCTGCCGCCGATACATTGATTTCGGCTGAATGTGGAGCAACACACCGAGGCCCAAAGCCAAGCGAGAGGAGCGCAGCCGCCAAAACGGGAGGCACGTAAAATGACAGTTCGCTGTTCAACATGTTTTGTTTAGCAGTGTGCTAGGCCTTGTTTTGTGCACGTAGTAACATGGTAGGCAAACCCTACGTCGGGCGACCTAAGTGCTTACGGGGTGACTATCCGTGGGTGACCCCTTTCCAGCGCAAGTATCAGGGTTACCACTACATACGAGGTTCTAAATTGATTATCGTGAACCGCCTCAGTCGGCCGGATTTGTTGTGCAGAAGTTGGATTTTCTGGAGTTAGCATCTTGTGATGGCTCACTAGGATGAACAATGATGAACAGTTGTCGGGATTTGCAACCATGGTGTTATTCTAGTTTGGGACGGGCAATTGCGAGTGGGTGATTGGTTGAACTTCACAGCTCGGCTTATGGTGTGTAACCTGCACTGCATGTTGCCAGCGCGTTGATCATTTCTCGGTGCTAGTATTGTTTCAGTTTACAAACTACCTGCAAGTTGTGCTCGGCAGGTGCAAGCATTTTGAGCTGGACGGTATGCGTGTGTGTGTGTGTGGTGTGTGTCTGTGTGTGTGTGTGGTGTGTGCATGCAAGCAGTGTATGATGGACCGGAGGATGTATCTGTTATTTGAAAAAACACAACAAGAACACACTAAAGAAAGAATATAATGAACAAAAACAACTAAAACATGGCAGTTTAAAAGAAATAAGCACACGAAAACAACACACAAACTCGGGGTGTGCATTCTCGGGCAGCAAGAGCCAGGCGCAGTCGCCAAGAGCCAGGCACCCAAGGCCTTGGAGGCGGGAAAGTGGGAGCGGTCCAAGAGAGGGCCCGTCCGTTTTGTTTTCTTCTTTCTTTCTTTCTTTCATTTGTTGTTGCTTTTTTTTTGTGGGGGGGGGGAACTGTTTTTTTTCTTCTTCTTTTTCTGGGGGGGCACCCTCTGCCTATGTTTGTGGTCTTTAAAGGGAAGCCCAAAACGGACAGCTCCGAGGCTTGTTTGTTGTTTTGTTTGGGGGAGGTGCCCTAAGAAAAGACCAATTCGTTTGCGGAGTCTACGGGTCTATGGTCCATTGAATCCGGGGACATACCCAATCTGATAGACACATCGAGGACGGCCCGGCCGGCGGGTGCTAAGATTTGTGAAACCAGAATAAAAGGATCGCAAAGACCAGGACAGGTTCCTTTTGGTACTTGTGTGCCAATTAGAAAATGCCGTCATGCTGTTTCTCCTTTGTTTGACCAGGACCACGTGCAAGTGTCAACCATGGTTCAATTTGAACTCCGAAGACATCAATGCCGCGTCCAATTGTCTAATTCCTCTTTTGCGATCAGCTCGTGCTGCCAAGCCTCCGATTCTCCAAGGCAGCGCTTGCATTTGACAATGTTGTCAGCCTCTCAGTTGGTCAGTTGGGACCCACATTTCGCGGAACAAGGAACATTGTCCGCGAGTCATTTGGAACAGTCGCCGGGCAGTTGCACTTCCCTGGCCTAGCGTTGCCATCCTATGTTGAGCTAAACAGCTTCTCCGCAAGAGAGGCAGATGCAACATGATGGAACAAGATCAAGCCGGCATGTGACTTGCATTGCCATCCATGATATTTGTGCAAATGGTTGAGTAGCTTTTCCCAAGGCGGGCTCGTCACCATGTTTATCCCATGGCTTTATGACGTCGCAACGAGCGTTTAATGAATAGTCAAGCTTCCCAGAGTGCACGCAGCATGTGGGAACCGCAGCAACATGTGTGTGTGTGTGAGTCCACTGAACATGTTATCGTAAGTTATCTTCAACGGACCCTCAGCAAGTTCCCATGCGAGTGCTGCTCATTGGGACTTGCGGCTACCCCCCGGGTTAATTTGCGAAGGGGTCTTTCTGTAATTTCTTTGGGTACGGTATGCCTCTTCATAAAGATGTCCAGATTCAGCCGGAATTCCCACAGGTTGAGGAGACCAGCTACGCGAAGGCTGGCCAGGCATCCGAGCCTCAGCGGCTTGCGCATGCCAATAACCCTCTATGAGAGCACAGGGAGCCCTGACAAAGTTTCTTTTAGACTGGGTTTGGGTTTGCGGGGATTGTTTCTATAGGTCTTCAAGAGAACGGACAAGCAGAAACTTGCCCATGCGACAAGAAGGGTTTGAACTCTTGGTACCGCCAATTGCGCTTGTTAGGTTAGTGCCTTACGTCAACCGCTTGCAGGCTCGGCCGAGAAAATCCGCAGCAGGCAGGTTGGCTTGTTTGGACATGGGTGTATGTGTGCTTTTGAGGGTACCCTGTCCAAATTAATTTATGGAAACCTGAAGGATTTCCAGTTTTCGGATCCTTTTTCTTTGGCGCAAACCCAGATATCGCCAAATGCGACCCATCTCGGCTTGTGCAGAAATACGTTTCAGAACGAAACCGTTTGACCCGCAAGCCATTTGGAGCACGCTTAAGTCGGTTCTTTATGGCATT